CTTTCATTTATAGCTATATTTTAGAGTGAGTGGTAGCAAGTATCCTGTGTAAGATTTTGGGCTGTTTTCCACTGAGTTGCAATTACTATTCATGACAAGATGACAAGATAATATATAAGATCAAGATTAATGTTAACCTGGTAGCATTAATTTTGGATTTTTTATTTATTTACTTTTTATTTGGAGTCTATTTAGTAATATCTATTATTTCTGTTACAATTAAATTCCAAAAATCTTGCACCAACTGATATTCCCACCACAAATGATAATATGTACCAAGTTTATTGCAACCCCTCCAACAATTAAATGATATAGTAGAAAACATTTTTGACATTTTGCAAAGGAGTGCAATACCACCTGTGTAGTAATTTTAAGGAATTCACCCCTAGCTATTCTGGAAACAGATTTTAAGGGTCACAATTCCCAAATTTTATTCCAATCCTTGGGAAGAATTTGTGTGCCAACAGCTGGTTCGCATATCTTTTTGTTGTTGTTGTTAAATTTTTTATTCAGTTTCAATAACAATCTTCCAATTAATGACAAATTAAATCAAATCAGTCCAAATTACAATAATAACAATACCACCTATTATATATTCCAATTATAAAATTATTATTGGGGGGTGGGACTTCACATGTTCCAGATGTCTGGAGATAATCGTGCTCATTCAGGTTGCTGCATTTTCGGCTACTTTTCAAATTCCAAACTAATATTTTTCAAATTATCCATCCTTATTCTCAGTCTGATCAGTTGTTGTTTCTGTGGCTCACATCTTCTGTAGCAAAATTTTTATATTGTTAACCCACAGGAGGCATTTCCCCCCCCCCCATCTTATTCTCTGTCCAATTATGTTGGTGTTCAGTTCTCTTATCTCTCCTTTGTTCGTTAAGTTCTCAATAAAGGCACCGGGCTTCATTCCAAAAATAGAGTTTATAAATGGCAAGTCAACAAGTTCTCTCTGATGTCTCTTAATGAGCTTGTGTCCGTATATGTCTGTATATAATGCTGTATTGTGGGGCATGCTTCCCGGCTGTATATTATGTGAGAATTATTTAAATTCCTCCAAGAACAAAAGGACAGCTCCTCCAGGCCCTAGAAGAGCTGGCAGGGATCCAGCGCTCTCCATCCTTCTGTCCACAATTTCTGTCCACAATAATGTATAAAAATAATCCATACAAGCAGATGTATTTTAGAACAAAGTACAGCGGACGCTCGGGTTGCGAACGTGATCCATGTGGGAAGCACATTCGCAACCCACAGCGCCACGTCTGCGCATGTTGCGATTTGGTCTTCTGCGCATGCGCAACCGCCGAAACCCAGAAGTAACCCATTCCGGTACTTCTGGGTTTCAGCGCGTGCATAACCTGAAAAAACGCAATCTGAAGTGTCTGTAACCCGAGGTATGATTGTACACCCCAAGTCCAATGGAGCTCTTTTCCATTAGAATTCCTCTTTTCTTTTTTTTTGTAATTGCGCGATAATACTTGCCATTTTGTTTCCATCTTCAGCCCAAGCTGCCATATCTGATCTTATTTTGCCAGCTCTAATTCTCATTAGAGTTCTCTGTTGAAGGCTGTGCATTATACATTCAATTAAAATTTTCGCCTCTTGTGTTTCGTTTAAGTAATTAAATTATTTCTGGCTGAGCTTCGCCAAATCGTAATGTAATATAGCAAGTACGGAAAGATGGCAGTTGCTCACCTTAATCCACGTTTCAAGATGAGATTCTGTTTAAAGTCCAAAATTCAGCATTCAATGACTATATAATTTGTCATTTTTTTCCTCCTCCATCTGGAACATGCCTGTTTTTTTATTTATTTATCCAAATCTTATTATTTTACAAAACAGGTGTCTCCTGCGTGTAGGAGTGGCTCTGGAGAGTGCCATCCGTGCCATGCTCTTAGACCCAGCATCCCTGCCACTTGCATCTTGATGCGAGCCGACAGGTCACGGATGATCTGCGGGTCTGTGAGACAGTCCTCCCCCACCCTGAGGAGTCTGCCAGGACTAATTACCCCCATATCAACCCTGAATTACTGGCACGGCTGGGGTCTGTTCGTGTGGGAGGCAGCCATTTTCCACAGCAGGAAACTGGAAGTGGTTTGCATATATTTTAAAGGGGTTCCACATATCCATAAGTTACATTAAGCAGTATAGAATACAATTTAGAAACTACCCCAGGCCCTTTTTGACCCCCCTTTCAACTCTTATGTCCTTATTCATCCCCTGCACAGTCCCATGGTGGGAGGGTCAAAACCAATCACTATGGGAAATTGGCTAGCTGGCTCCCTGAACAAGAACAATCCAGCTAGAAGGTGAAGCTGACACTGCAACATTTTGCTGCAGCTATTACTAGTCCATTTCTCATCTAAAACGGGAACTGGAAGTAAACATTCTAGTTCATATTAAAAACATGTGGATTGATCTGTGTCACCAAATGCTCTGCATTTCCTGTTTTGGAAAATCTCTTTAGGACTTGATCAGGAAGCATTCTGTAGTTGTTTTCACACTCTCAAGCAGGGCAGGGATAAACCATCATCACTGACTATCGCTCATGCTGTTTGGGATGATGGGAGTCGAGTCCAACAACATCTGGAGTGCACCAGGTTGGCGAAGGCTAATGCTGTAAACCAGTGGCTCCCAATCAGGCTGTCTGTGTAACCCACCTAGGCAATCCGTAGCACTAACCCACCAACTGTCCAGGACATCCTGTTTTTGAGAGCCATGCTCTTCTCACATGAATATGGCACCCAAAACCACATGAGATCACAGCCAGATGCACATCTTACCCAAGATTGTGGCGACCCAAAACACATGTTTGTCAGCGCTGTGCTCTTTCATGGGTCATGTGACTCGCATGGATGCATGGTCCTGAAAACATGTGTCCCAGTTTTGTGCTGGGACATATTGGAGGTTATGGTGGCACCATTCACATAACAAAAACTACCATAGAGATGTCAACACTTTCAAAAGTAGGGAGTCAGTGGTTTGGCTTTTGAAAAACAGGGAGTCCGTAATACTTACCTAATTGGGGACCACTGCTCTAAATCATAGCTCTAAACCAATACAACACACATTTTGCAGCCGACAAGTCCCCTGTATCAGGATGAAGGACTACCTAGTCTAGCATCCTGTTTTTTTACAGCAACTGACCAGATGCTTCCTAGAATCCCACAAGCAAGGACTGAAAATAGCAGCTTTCTCCCACCCCTTCCAAATACTGCCTGCATCTTCAGTAGGTGGCATACAAGGTACACTGCTTCTTAACTTGGAGGCTCTATTCAGACACCACAGCTAAGAACTACTGACAGACTCTTCCTCCTCCAGGACTTTGCCTCATTCCTCTTTAGATATTTGCCATGGAAAACATTGACAACACAGCCATTTTTAGTCAAAATGTCTAACACCAACCCATCAATGCTATGTGAAAAAGCAAGACTCACTGTAAAGCTAAGTAAATGCTGGTTTGGGCAACCTAAAGTTATACTTGGGACACAAGGTGGGTACATTACCCCTCCTTATGTCCCAAGGGGGCAAGGGACAAGACCGAAGCAATCAGAGATTGGGAAACTCCCAAAACAAAACAAAAAACCCAGGTTTGGTCCTCTTTGGTGACACCAGAAGCCATCTGAACTTCCAGATCCAATCCTATAGACTTGCCTCTCAAAAACCTTTATCTTCCCAGCCCTCACTCCCAGACTGCAACTGTTATAAACTAGTGTTGAGAGGGCCAGGGAGATAGGCTTTTCCACAAGGGCCCTTTCATATCTGGGTGTCTAAGAATCACCCATCTCTCCATCTTGTCTGTTGAGCTTCCAGAACAAGCCAGCTCCAAGTGGGGCTCCAAGTCAAAGACGGGGGGAAACTCCAGCTTTCCAGATGTTGTTGGACTCCAGCTCCCATCATCCCCAGTCACCATGGCCAATAGTGAGGGATGATGGGAACTGTAGTCCAACAACATCTGTAGCCCAACAGCTCCATCCCTGCTCTTTAAGGTGGGAAATAAAGCTGCTGTCAACTGGATTTCCACAGCAATTTTTTTTTAAAAAAAAATGTGTGTAGCAAGGGAACCAAGGATGGGTCAAGTGGCCTCAGGGACACTTGCATTCCAAGATAGGGCAAAGTTAAGGAGTGATTGCAGACAGACGACAGGGGACCATCAAATGACCACAGACAATAAAATTGTGCAATGATTGACTAGAATTTGGGGGTCAGCCAACAACTGATTGGCAGTAGATTTGGTAGGGCCAAAGATAACAGGGGAAAGGTTGATAGGACTGGACATCTTTAGCTCGGAAGAAAAGAATTGAGTGGGGAAGGCAAGATAATTGTATTCAAATCTCTGTAAGGTTGTCACATAAAAGACAGCAAAAGTGTGTTGTCTGCTGTGGTGAAGAGCCCACACTAGATATAGTGAGCTTCAGATTCAGGAGGGGAGATTTTCAGTTGAACATTAGGTGGCATTTCCTGAAGGTCACAGCTATTCAATAATGGAGCTAGATATGGGTGGGGGTGCATCCTCTGGCTGGAGGTCCTCCAGCAGAAGCTGGAGAATTGCCTGTTTGCTGGGCGGAGGTCCTAGCTGTGGATTTCCAGCTTCAAATAGGAGACTGCCCTAGATGGCGCACTAGGATCACCCTCCAGCTCAATGATTCTATGACTTGTTGACAAAACACATAGCTTAATTGATAGAATCTGGTGTCCCCACTGTTGGGGACAAGCAGCAGAAAGAAAGGGCTATTGCCTTTGCACCCTGTTTGTAGGCTCCCCGGGAGGTACCAGGCTAGCTACTAAGGAAAGCAGAATGGACCTTTGAGGTGTCACATAGCAAAGCTCTTCCAACATTAATGCTTATATAGTTGGATTTGATAGCTGTGCACAGAATGTAGGAAGCTGCCTTAAGTGGAGTCAGACCAATGGTCCATCTAGCTTAGTGTTACCTATGCTGACTGGCCGTGGCTCTCCAGGGTCTCAGACAGGGAATCTTTCCCAGCCTCGCCTGGAGATGCCAGAGATTGACTCTGGGACCTTCTGCATGCAAAGCAGATGCTCTCTCGCTGAGCTACAGCCCTTCACTATAATGAATCAGACCATTGGTCCACCTAGGTCAGTACTGTCCATGCTGCCTGGCAGCAGCTCTCCAACACTGCAGAACAGGGTCTTCTGCAGCCCCACCTGGAGATGCCAGGGATGAAACACAGATCCTTCCACATGCAAGGTTGATGCTCTGCCATCAAACTACAGTCCTTGTACACAACTGTGCAACACAAAATTAAGTGAAGGGAACCAGGGTTCTCAAATAAGAGATTCTGGCAGGTTGACACAAGTACCTTACTCTCTCTGTACCACTGGGGTAGCCTGGCTTGGCGTGTGCTTCGCTACCATGACCAACTCAAAGGTGGCACTGCAGCTTGGCAGAGACTGGGGGCACAAGGCAGCTAACAGCACTTGCCTGTGAGTGCTCCAATTGGAGAACAGGACGCAAGGGAGAAATGTGCTAAGAGGAAGGCACGCTTGGCAAATACACACCGTGATCAACTCCTGCCCAGAAACCTATGTCCCCACTGTGGAAGGACATGTGGATCCAGAATTAGCCTCCAGAGTCACTTATGGGCTCATTGTTAAAATCGTGTTTATGGAAGACAATCTTACTCAGCTACAAGTGATCGCCAAAGAATAAGAAGAAGACCTGATCGTACAAAATTCTGACCTCGGTCTGGCTCAATCTGAAGACAGCTGTGAGTGGCTGCTGGTATCCTTCCTGACTGGTCCACTAGAACCAGTCATAAATCACTCAGACTCAGCCAGGAGATCCAGTGTTAAGACAATTCCCAGGCACCTGGCTACTCAGGCACCTAACAGTGCTCAGGATTTGATGCATTTCTGAAGCCTGGCAGTAGAAACATATGGAAGTTTCTTTAGTGTGTGTCATGTGTGCAGCATTCCTGCAAACTGAGTCCAGCCAAAGCCCACATAATGGCAGCGGGAATAGGGAGACACTTGTAAGTGAACTAAAAACAGGCCTTGCATCAACTGAAAGCCTTTTGGGCCAGAGGCCACAACTTCCTACATCTCCCTAAATGAATTTTAGAGGGTGGGAGAAGAACAGACTTTCCTGAAAGAGGACCTCCTTCTTTATATCACTAACCAAACCAGCTTTACCCTCAGGCTCAAGAGAAGTTGAGGAACTAAAGCTGTGGTGATGTACAACCCCCCCCCTTTTTTTTTGCTGTTCTGAGCAGTTCGGCTATTGCAAGAGGGTGGTAGTGGTGTGTGTGAGAGTGTGTAAAGGGAAAGGTTGGAGGCTCATTTCTCCACTGGGAAAAAACCTCAGAAGGCAAAACTCCCTGACAACCCCACCTAGCGAGCTGCCTTATAGTGAGTCAGACCATTGGTTCATCTAACTCAGTACTGTCTACACTGACCGGTAGTGGCCCTTCAGGGTTTGGGGCAGGGACTTTCCCAGCCCTACCTGAAAATTACAGGGATTCAACCTAGGCTTGGGTCTTCTGCATGAAAGCAATGCTCCAACACTGAGCTCTAATGAAGAAAGGAAAGGCTGAATGTTAAGTAAACCAATTATTACAATCAAGCACAACACAAATATTGTGAAATAAAACAAATACATAACTAGCCAGGATCCTGTGATCTCAAAGTTTCATGTTAAAGTATTCTTGCTGCATTTCTGCAAGATGTACTGTTCAGCAGCGGGGGCGGGGTGCAGGGGTAATTCTGTCCTTACTCTGTATCAGTGTGACTGGAGCACTTAATCACTCCTGACATAGAAAGAGTAGAATAACCTAAGCCTTGAGGAGGCTGTCTGATGTAACTCTGTACTGTGCCAAATGCACCTCCTTCCAGTTAGTGACTTGTGCAGAAGTCAGGGGTTGTTGTGTTTCTGTTTGTAAAGATGCAAGATTGAAGCAGTGCTCCAATTCTCCCTCTCTCTCTGGATCGTGGCCCCAATCCTGTGATCCTGACCATCAAATCAGTAGCTCAGAACTAATTTTAGCTAGTGCTAAACTAAGAGATGCATTCTTTGGGAACTGAACTGTCTAGTTAAAGGCAGAAAAAGGAGATGGTGCCCCAAAATGAAGGGAAAGACAGCCAACAGGGCATCTGGGACGTGGTAATAATAACCCCACAGCCCAGCCTTAGCATCACAGCCCATGAAATGTCAGAGGCCAAGGGAGGTCAGGCTTGGACACCTTTATATCCGGAGAGTGTTCTCATTAACATAAGGTTCAGCCTAGCAATCCATCACAGTTTAGATGCAGTGAACCCACCTTTTAAAAGCACTAAAAATGCAACAAACAAACCCCAAACAGCTAGTTTACATCTTTATTTCTACAGTTTTCAAGCAAGTGTGATGTTCAGGGTTCAAGGTCTGAAACACAAGCGCAGAAAAATGTTCCTTCTATGCTGTTCTAGACATTCCCTACAGCTCCAGGCTTTGCTTTTATTTACAAGTAACCAACGTAAATAAAACTCTTCACAACTAGCTGACGTGGAGTTCCATTTGTACAGTATAGCTTTCCTTTACTGAGTGAAGGACAAAGATATATTGTGGGAGGAAGGGGCCAGTCAGCCAATCGGTTACAAAAGCAGAGGAAAAGGACGGAGAACCTCTAGCCCACTGCCTCACAAACTGTGCTACATGGACCACCAATAGTCTGTGACAGTGCCTTTTTTCTGGGGGGACGCAGGGAGATGCATAACCTAAACATTTTGTGAATCTAAGTTCGGCCTTATTGAAGGACAGTATTTCAATATGAGTAGGAAAATGATAGAACTCCTAAACATGTTGTTGTTTTTAAAGCACTGGTCATCAGTGCCAGGCCGCAAGGCCAACGGCCAGATGGGTCAAGGGTGTTGTAGTCCAGCAGCATCTGGAGAAACACAGCTTCCCCATCCCTGCCACAGGACGTCAAGAACTCCAGCAAAAAATAAATACAGTGGTGCCTCGCAAGACGAAATTAATCCGTTCCGCAAGTCTCTTCGTCTTGCGGTTTTTTCGTCTTGCGAAGCACGGCTATTAGCGGCTTAGCGGCTATTAGCAGCTTAGCGGCTATTGACGGCTTAGTGGCTATTAACGGCTTAGCGGCTTTAAGAAAAAGGAAACAAACTCGCAAGAACTCGCAAGTCGTTTGTCTTGCGAAGCAAGCCCATAGGGAAATTCGTCTTGCGGAACGACTCAAAAAACGCAAAACCCTTTCGTCTAGCGAGTTTTTCGTCTTGCGAGGCATTCGTCTTGCGGGGCACCACTGTAAAAAGGAGGTATCTATCACCAAAGCAGCAGCAATAAAGCTATAATGGTTTTTTAAAAACAACCATATTTTTAAAAATAAATGCTTCACCAGCTTACATACTGGAATACCTTTTTTCTTTTTAAAAGACACTGAGCCCACCCAACAGTTGCCCACAGAACCAGATCAACAACAGTTGCCTTAAATAGAACACAGGCACCCATCCCCTTGAAGAGTTTAGTGTCACCCACAGGCCAAAAGTTCTTCCTTGCCTCCCCTCCAAGCCTGGAGCTCTACTGTTTGGTTGCATTATCTGATCGCTGCTTCTTAGGTTGTCCAAGTGTTAAATCATCAAACTGAGGGCGCTTGAGTAGGGGCTTCCAAGGACTGCCCACCCCATCCCCTAGAAAGCAATTTTCATTAGGAACCCAATTACCCACAAGGCGCAATAAAAAACATTTAAGGTCCCTGATCTCATAACTCTTCGGAAAAGTAGTCAATGCTCACAGGCTTCCAATGGAGGGGTGGGGGTGGGGTGAGAGAAGGAACCACTTGAGCAAATGCTAGAAAAGGAGGAAAGCTGTAAAATTATTTGCTGCTAAATGCCTTCCACCAGCACCCACCCTCCCAACAGAAGAATTCTATCTGGGAGAGTATATTGTTGCTGGGACAGTGGTACCTCGGGTTAAGTACTTAATTTGTTCAGGAGGTCCGTTCTTAACCTGAAACTGTTCTTAACCTGAAGCACCACTTTAGCTAATGGGGCCTCCTGCTGCCGCCGGAGCCCGATTTCTGTTCTTATCCTGAAGCAAAGTTCTTAACCTGAAGCACTATTTCTAGGTAAGCAGAGTGTGTAACCTGAAGTGTATGTAACCTGAAGTGTATGTAACCCAAGGTACCACTCTATTCGTTTGTAGCCAATGTTAGCTCTAATCAGACCCCTGTACATTTAAAGCTAATTTAAAGCACTTGACTACCCCTAAATAATCCTAGGAGCTGTCACTTATTAAGGGGTGGTGTGAATAGCAGCTCTCAAGAGGGGTCAAATACAGTTCCCAGGATCCTTTGGGGGAAGTCACATACTTCAAATATATGATGTGTTCTCAGTCTTAGAAGCAAGAAACCACAAGTGGGATGGGTTGACAGTCTTTAGAGAAGGACATGAGAACAGCCTGTTGGATCAGGCAATTTGCCCATCTGTTCTCACAATGGCCAGTCAGATGCCTGAATGTGAAGCCCACAAGCAGGACCCGAGCACAAGCGTCCTCTCCCAGGCTGCTGGTATTCCAACAGCTGGTATTTAGAAGCATTACTGCCTCTGACTGCGGAGGCAGAATTTGCCACTGCAGCTAGTAGCCACTGATAGACCCCATCAGGTTCATTCTTCTGAACTATGGAAATCTGTCCAAAATCTAAGCATGGTTTAAAAGTCCTGCATTCCCTTTGTTTGCAAATGTCTAACCCGGTGCAAGGAGAAAGGTCTCTCTCCCCCATCTCTCTTTGATAAGGTCCTTTTAAATCAGATCAAAATGTGTAGCCTGAGGGAGATGGTGCCTTGTCACTCCAGCCAGCTCTCTTTCTGCCTCCCTAATTAACAGGGAGTGGACAACAGCAGTCTGCAGCCTGGAGGCTTGGAAGCTCTCAGCACAACAAGAGGCCAAGCCTGCTATGCGCAGGACCAACCATGCATTGGCAGAGCTGCTGATGCATGTAACAGTTTTGGCTGCAGCAATGGAGTTGACACCCAAGAGGAAACTGGGCGGCTGAAATCATGGAACCAGTATACACCCCAATGACCAAACCTGGAAGCCTTGAGGCAAGAG